CCACCCCACCCCAGCGGGCGCTTCCTTGCCGCAGCCATGGCCGTCCTTGGGGGTCCCAGCGGCAAGCTGAAGGCAGGGTGAGTGGCCGGCTGCCCCACATCTGGTCACCCTTTGGAGCGGAGCGGCTGCATCTGGTTTAGCCAACTGCCCGGGGGGGTGGAGGGATAGGGCTGCAGCATCTATTCAGTGGCCGGCAGCAGGACTCAGGGCCGGGGGAAGTCAAGACGTTTCAGCTGATCTGCGTCAAGTACAGCTGCCCCCTGGCCGGGTGTGGTATTGTGAGGTATTGGAGGTTCAGTTCGGCCACTGCGGTCCTTTGGTCCCTTTCAGAGTTGCCAGAGCCAATCCTTACACTTTGAGCTTGAATCCATCATACTGGATGTAGGTGAAGAGGGAGGGGAGTTGGAGTTGCCAGTCCCTCCTTCCCCCACCTCACCCTATTTTAGATCCTCCATCAGTCCAGCCGCTCTGTGCACCTGACGAAGGGAACCAAAGCTGCTGCCTTTTAACAAATTGTGTTAATTGGAAAAGGTGCTACCAGACTCCCTCTGCTTTTTTGCCAGCATAGACTAAACTCTTCTCCTACAATAAATATATCATAAAGTAATCCTGCCCTGTGTGAAAGAAAAGGTTAATAAAGATCAGTTGCTAAATTCAAGCAAGCCTTTCCTGTTTTGCTCTAGCCCCCTTGCCCCAGGTAATGAGCGGGACTGTCATGTTCTGAGTCTTTTTATCCAATGAAAACAAAATGCTGGATTGAGATGTGATCATAATATGTTATGCTACCAAGTGCAGTTGTGTCCTAAAAATGAACAAGAGTGCTACAACATTGGCAATTTTATTTTCAGTGCTCCCTTAAGCAGTATGAGTGTTCAAGCTCAAATTTCAACATATCCCTTTTGTCTGCCTCCTCGCAATATTCTGTGAGAGGACTTTTGCAAGATTATTCTCTTATTTTCAGCTCAGTCCTCTGAAATCCTTAAAAACTACTCTCTCCCACACATACCATGCATCCCGCATTCTTCACTTCAGTACTGCTGAGTTATATGGGAAGCCAGGGAGAAGAGAAGTTCTCCTTAAGTAAGGGTTGCCTTGGCCAGTGAGAGGCCCTGTGCTCACAAGCCTGGGATGAGGGGAGGGGCAGAACAGCAGGTGGCCAACCCCAGAAGAGCCTTGCTGAGTCCCCTGGACCCCCAAGTGCCTTTCATCTTTTTTGCTCAAGCCATGAGCACCAAAGGCAGATTTGTTTGGAAGGAGAAGTTAAGATGGTGACCCAAGCGCACTGTTCCTTGCTGGGCAAGAATGAAGGGCTGCAGGGAATGTGGGGCATTCTGTCACAGTCACCATCTCCAAAACAGTTGTTGCTGATCCTAGAATCACACAGGCCATGGAGAAGTCAGCCACATTTTAAAAATCAAGCCATACCGAGTTCTTTTAATGGACAATATGGTTGCTGAATTTACATCTCTATATTGTGAGAGTCTAGCCAATTGCGTTATGTATGTAAGCCATGATTAAGGCAATCAGAGGTGCTATCGCAGGGTTGAAAGGGGCCTTAGAGGTCTTCTAGTCCAACCCGCTGCCCAGGGCAGGAATCCTCAGACCATCCCAGAAAAAAGCCTGCCCAATCATTTCTTGAAAACCTCCAGCGATGGAACCCCCACACCTTTGTGAGGCAAGCTGTTTCACTGCTTCAGGCTGTACAGGGCATAGATGCAAACCCGGCTGATGTGTGCTGACTGTCCCCCTTTTAGCTAGCTTCCAGGGTGGTAGCTTCATGCTGGCTTTCCAGGACTGTCCTTTCAGACCCTGCCCATCCTAGACAACAAAGCGGGGTGAGTGTGTGTGAAATACATCTGACCCCACAATGCAAGTACAAGAGGACAGAGCTTGCTGCACTGTCACGACATGTGTTTCATCACTTTGGCACGATGGTGGTTAGGAACGGACTCTTGTACTCTTTGTTGCTACATTCATACAATACGTTTAGCTGGTTACCAAATTAAACTCCCCCCCTTTTTTTTTTAGTTTGCACAATACAAAGGCTAGGCCCTAGAGAAAACAAAGCAAAGTTAAAGCTGTGGAACAATAATTCTTTCTGTGAATACAACTGGTAGGTATTTAGCCTGGCTAAACATGTTGTGGGAACACAGCTCATCTTGTTCAAAGGCCTGGCAGCCAATTTCTTCTTTTCCTTCCAGGCCATTCCCTTCAGATCCCTTGGTGGACCTGACAGAAGAGGATCAGCAACTCATCGGAGACATTTGGGCAAAGGTCTTTGACAATGCTGAAGAAAATGGCAGGCTTATTATCCTCAGGTATTGGAGTTGGCAAACTGAGTCCCGCACTGTGGAGGGGACCTGCTTGCTTCCCCACCTTGGAAGCTCTGTTTGGGGCTCGGAAGAAATCCATTTTTTCGGAAGAGAAACCCTAACCCTTCTTGGGGGCACTGCAATGGGACAGAGCCTCTTCCCAGATACATGGTATCTTCCCTGTTTTGTGTGGGGTGGGAGCATGCATTCCCTGCTACGGAGGTTCATTTCTTGTTGATATGCTACTCTTCCTCCTGGAAGAAGAATCAAGGTACGTTGTTAAAAACCAGGAACGTAGCATCACAGAGAATATAAATGACAGCCTGTGTGGTGACCCTCCAAATGCCAGCTGAAGAAGAGACATGGTTTCTCCTGCTTTCAAAAAGACAGCTGGGGACTGGCAATGCTTCCCCAGAGATAGGGTTCCATGCCTGGGGGCTGCTGCAGAGGAGACCTTCCTCTTGGCCCCTAAACCCATCCTAATGACTTACTGCACAGATCAAAGCCACTCTTTTAAGTCCTTGGCTCCTGGAGTAAAGCTCTTCTGTTGGGCCTGGTCCAGACAGCCAGCACAGGAACCACTGGCCCACATAACAATGTGGCTGCTGCCATGTCTGGGCCTTTTGAGCAATACAGTACAGCCCTGGCTGAGACCTTCATTATGCCAATGAGCCTGCTGCCCTCTACCCTTTGGGATGTCAGTGTCCGGATTCCTTTGGTTGAGGCGGGTGAGAGGTCTTGCTTGGGAAGGTAGCTGGGAGGCCTGGTGAAAGGAAGAGCATATAGTGCAGAACTGGAGTCCAGTCCAGCTCAGCCCAGCTCTCAGCACAGGGAGAGACCAGTCAAGCAAAATTTGCCTGCCTTCTGAACAGCAGGACCTCCTTTTTTCTCCCCACTCAGGTTCTTCACAGGACATCCAGAGAGTAAGCAGTATTTCAAGACCATTCCGACTGAGGGTGACCTGATGATGATCCCAGAAGTGGGCTTCCACGGCCGGAGAGTTATGGTGACCCTGAACCAGTTAATTCAAAGCATGGGTCACTGGAAGCAGGCCTGCAAGCTCATTGAGCGGCTGGTGGACAGCCATAAGAACACTCACAAGATCCCAGCAGCAATGTTCCAGGTACACAAGACGTTTCAGAGGGAAAGCAGACTCATTCTCTGCCAGCTGAGTTAATTGCAGCAGGGGCCATCTCTTTCCCAGAGAGGAAATCTGGGGCAGACCTAAATAGTTGCCAGCCTGCGGTACACCCCACCTCAGCTCCATGGGGCTACCAGAGCATCTGCAGAGAGGTAGAGCAGCTGGTGGGGGGTTCCCTTTTGCAACGCAGCTCCCTTTCCAAGGCTCACCAAGTGCCCACAAAGAGAGTGCTCTTACAGTCTGCCTGGGGGACTGCAGTGAACACGGGAGTTCTCTAGGGTTCATTCTCATTCTCATCCCTGATAGCTTTGCCTTTACCTAGTTCCTGTTTCAGGCCATTCTCTGTGTCTTCCAAGACCTCCTGAGAGAGGAGTTTACTGATGACGCCCAGCTAGCCTGGGAGAAGTTCTTTGTGGTTCTTCAGGAAGAAATTGAAGCTGCTTATGCATGGGAACAGAAGCCTTAAAGAGACCCTGACTGACATTAGGCAATTGGGTGAACCAGGCCCCACCCCATTGTGCTTGTATTGGTGGAAAGGATGGAATAAAAGGTCTGAACACTAGCACCTAGTTCTGGGGAGAAGTGAGTCCGTGGCTATGACAAGGAGTGTGGAAAGAAAGGTGGCTACTGAGTTGGAATTCCCAGGTGAGCTCCAGGGAAAGGATAAAGATGGAGAAAGAGGATTGAAAAAAGGAGCACTGTCAGATTTTGTCTGCTTCTTCAGAAGTGCAGGCTGTCTTTTTCTGCATTCCTTCCTCCCCTGCCCCCCCTGCCCCCGCCCATTCTCTGGGGCCCTGAGGATTGACAGCAAGGCAGAAGGGAGGCCTGAAACACACCAAGCCTCGGCCAGCCATCCCAGGCTTCAGCTCTCCTCAGAGCCCAAAAGTGTCCAGCCATCAACCTGAACAAAATACCAGTCACCCTACAGCCGCTGCTGTCTTTTGAGATTCTGGATTGCAAGCCTGTTATTTCGGAAGAGGGTTCATTTGTACATGGCTGGGTTTGGCTGTGGCATTGGCATGTCTGTGCAAGACGCAAAGCCCTAAACTACGGTTTACAAGCCATAACTACTGAATTCATGAAACCCATCTCTCAAACCAAAGCAATCATATCCTGGCTTAATGCTGATTTTTCCTATTCCACAAAACACTCTGGCATTTGCTAGCACCTCTGGGTCTCTTGAGAGTCCAAGCCATAGCCCGCACCTTGGCCGTGAGCTACGGCAGAGCTCCGAGGCCATGCCCATGCCCTGCTCCTCCGTGGGCCCAGAAGACATCCCACAAGTTATTGGGGCTGAGAGTGCCCGGGCATGCTTCAGACTTTGGCTCAGGCAGCTTAGCCAGAGAGCCGGGGAAGGGCTGACCAGAGGGATGGCTGCCTGGTGCCTAGGGTCTCTTGCTCACGTTCACTACTCTTCATGAGCCCTTGTGGTGGAGCAAATAGGCGGAACCAACAAAATGGAGGCCGAACCCCTTCTTCCCTGACTTGCTGACATGACTAGGGCCAAACTCAGTTCCTCCCTATGCCTAATCAATCAGACCTGAAGATTACCCTTCCTGCCCCAGACAAAGCCGCCGGAACAGTCTGAATGAGGGAATTGCAACCTCGTAACAAGGGGAAAACCTTGTTCCATCTCCTTAACAATGGACTGCCCCAAAAGGCCAATTTTGCTGAACTACCGAAAGGACCCCAGGCATGAAGTCAGGGACCTCCTTACCTTCCCCCAAAGCTGCCAACCAATCAGACCCCTAGGATTTCCTGCTCGGTAGCCCTCAATTTCTATAACCATCTTTGCTCTCCCATCCTGTGGGGTCCCTCCTCCTTGTAAAGCTGGGAGCCAAGGGTCCTTGAATAAAGGGCTGGTTATTTCTCCTCCATGTTGCGTTCCTTTCTTCTGAATTCTCCGGACGCCCTCAGCCCAGGAAAGGATAAAGGGGTGTGTGTGTGTGCAGGGGTGCAGCCAGTTGGCAGCAGGATTGGCGCCATGGTTGCCCAGGGCATGGCTTTCCAGCCCACCACTCTTGGCTTTTGTGACACATAACATGCCATCGGGATGGGCTTGCACTGCCTGGGGGTGCTTGAGTGTGCCATGGGAAGAGCCTCCTTGCTCTCCTACTGAGAGAAGGAGATGCCCTCTACCCCCACAATCCCAAGAGAGTTGCCAGGTGAGCAGAGCCAGCTCTGCAGTAGCTTCGTGGAGGTTGGGCCAGCTTGGGGGATGGGTGGACTGCAGGCCAGGAAGCAGTGGTCATTGGAATGAAGTGGGAAGGAGAGGCCCGTTGGCCAAGGAGCAAAAAGCTCATGGGAAAGTTGTTTGTTTGTCTATCTATCGCATGTACAGACTGCTGCAACCCAGAGGACTCTTGGCGATTGCGGGGTCCTTGTGCAGCTTGGAGGTGCTGAGTCCAGTCAGGACACTGCTGCATCCTCCAGGTGTTGAAACCCTTGGGGGTACCCAGCCCCCTACTCTGCCAAAATGAGACTCAGACCAAAGTGGACCAGTGGGTCTAGCTGGCCAGGTAGGCTGCCCTAAGTGTGCAGGAGAGCAGAAAGGCCTGGGTGGAGCTTCACAAGTGAGGGAAATTATCTGCCCAGAGCAGGTCTGTCACTGGCTTCCTGGGGGTTGACTTTGGCCCAGATGGTCTGCAGGTGGCTCTTCCTCCTTGATCAGCTGCACTGTGGCAACCGTTAGTTGCTGCACTGGATCCTAGCCAACTCTTTTATCCGGGGTGGGGGAACCCTTTCCCTCCAGGGCGACCTGCCATCTTGCCAGAAAGAGGTGCTGGCCATTGGTTCACAGTGGCCCTGGTGCAGCACTTGCAACTGATGGCCTACTCAGATGGCAGGCTCTGCCACGTCCACCAGTCTTCATTCAGCCAAGGGTTAAGGCTGGGCTTAGGCTACCCATGGTGGACAAGGAGCCTGTCTAGCGGTGTGCATCTCGCCTGCCCTTTGGTGGCAGGAGCAGCAGCATGGAGGAGAGGGGTCCAGTTTTGCTGTGACTATGGAAGAGGGCCCCAGGGCCCCAGAGAGGTACCGGGAAAGGAACTTTTCCTCTGAATTTCTTCCTGGCAATGCCCCCTTGCTCTCCATGGTCCTGAGACTCCCTGCTCCCAATCCCCTGTTTCCCAAATGGCCCAGAAGCATGCTCCTGAAATCTGTGGATCCTGAGTTATTGGGTGATCTGGTCCAAATAGTGAACCCAGTTTGCCAGCTCTGTGCTTCTAGCTCTCCTGTGGCTCAGCTCTCGCAAACACCCTGGTTTCCTCCTCTGTGGCAGGCTGCTCTGGGTCAGGATTGGGGGGCGGGGGGGGGCAAGCCTACCAGAGGTAGCCAGAAGTGCTCAGTCCCTTGTTTGTTCTTAGCTATAATATAGTGGTTCTACATTACAGCCGAGGGTACCCTTTTCCCTTCATTATTCCCTCAGGTTGGTGTGGTGGTTAAGGCACCAGGCTAGAAACTGGGAGGCTATGAGTTCTAGTCCTGCCTTAGGCATGAATCCTGCTGGATGACCTTGGGCCAGTCCCTCTCTCTCAGCCCTAGGAAGAGGCCATGGCAAACACTTCCAAAACCTTGCCAGGAAAATTGCAGGAACCAGTCCAGGCAGCTGCCCGGAGTCAACACCAATTCAAAGGTGTGCACGCACCCAGCCAGGTTTATTCAGAGCCCCTTCCCAGCAGCCATAGGGTCCCCGTTCTGCCCTCCAGCCCCAAGAGCCAGGCGCAGCAGGCAGGCAGTGGTTCAGAGACAACTTTATTGCTTGATGGCCCCGGTGAGGCGTCCCAATGGCAGGCAGCTCAGTGGAAGGCGAGGGAGGGCGCCTGGCTGCAGCCCGCGGGGCTCATCTGTATTTCTCACACATCGTTTCACCCACCATTTCAAAGAACTTGTCCCAGGCCAGGCAGGTGCAGGCATTGTACTCGGCACGCAGGTGAATGGCCAGGACCACATGAAAGCACTTGGCCAGCAGCTGCAGGAAGGAGGAGGAAGGCAGGGGTTAGCCAGGTGGGACAGGTGCCCTTCTTCCCGCCCAGTGGGCACCTTGCCCCAACTTGCCCTGAAGTTGACTGGGTCCACGCGGAGGTTGTAGGCGTGCAGGTCGCTGAGGTGGGAAAGGGCGCCGCGGATGTCATCCAGGTGGTTCAAGGCGCTCCCCAGCGCCTTGGCCACCTTCTCCCCCTGGTGCAGGACGTCCTTCGAGCCCGCACCCATGTTGAAGTGGGGGAAGTAGGTCTTGGTCTGCGGGTAGACTATGAACAACCTGCGGCAGGGGAGAGGAAGAGGAAGAGGAAGGGGTCCATCAGACGGGGAGCGGCGGGCACCCATCATGAGAAAGGAAGGCTGTGCCCCAACTCCTACCTGCACAGCGCATCGCCGCCAAGTTCCTCGAAGCGACGGTCCAGTTTGCTTATGGAGGCTTGGAGCAGCCTGCGGTCCTCGGCGTTCAGCACCATGGTTGTGGCGGAGGAGGAGGAGACCGAGGGAGGGCCTGCGGGTCGCGAGACGGAGGCGGAATGGGAGCCGGGGCGCCGCCGCCGCCGCCTTTATAGCTGCCCCCTCCTCGGTCCGCCCCTCTTATCTTATCGCCGTCGCGGTCAGGAGCGCCGCTGCCGCTCGGCCAGCCCGACAAAGAGCCGGGGTGGGGCTGCTTCGCTGCGGCGCCCCAGACCACCCTTGAACGGCTCTCGAAGGCAGAAGGCGGTCGCCTCTGAAGGACTGCGGCGCTCAGTCGGGCTGGGCCTCCTCGACGTTTCCTGTGAGCGCCTTGGCCGTTTCACAGGAAAGATGCCCGACCTGCGGAGAGCGCCCCGATCCTGGCATTCCGAGGCGGGTTTGCAGGACGGCTAAACCCCGTCATTTCAGGAAGCGCACGCGTGGAAACCGCAGGCATTCGGGGATAGGTGCCCCGGGCCCGAGTGGGTTGAGGAAGATCTTGTCCGTTCCGTCCCCCCGAGGGCGCTTGCACCACCATGTCCAGCAATATCAGCCAGCGTGGCCAGGGCGGGGATTCCCGAGCCCGCCGCCTTGGCTTGGCTAAAGGCTCCCGCGCCGCGAGGCTTCGGGGAGGTTGGCGCTCTTGCTAAGGCGGCGGCGGGGGCTGGGCTCCGGAGACAGCAGGAGCAGTCAGGCTGGGAATACGCCGAGCAGATGGCAAAGTGCTCCTGATCCTGGAGGGAAGTGCAGGAGTTCAACCTCAATATTGACCCAGCTGTACCCGGAAGAAAAGCCCCTTTTCCCTCTGCCACCTGCTGACATTGGGCTCCCCTCAGAAGTAATAAAGCACTCTTTATTTCATAGATTTAAATAATGTCTGGCTCCAACTGACTCTGGGCACTTTAGAAAATAAAAAAGTCAGAACAATATTTATTTATTTACTTACTTACTTACTAAATTTATATGCCACCCATCTCCCCCAGAGGGTGACTCTGGGTGGCTTACAATTAAAATCCAAGACAATAAAAACATAAATATCCATAATTAAAATAACAAGTAACAATTCTATATAAAAAGCTAATATGCAATTCAGGATGATGGGGGGAGCGGTATGAATAAAACAATAAAACAAGATAAACAGATTATATGCATCCAAAACATTATTCCTTCTCCAAGCCATATTATGACTTGAGCTGGCCCTGGTTCATACAGAGGGCCAGCTCAGGTACTGAGGAGTCTGATCTGTTGATAAAGTAAGTAAATAAATAAAAATCAACATGCTAAGCCGTGGTTTCTTAACAATTCACTGACTTAACCACAGCTGGCTCAGTGTACACAACCCCCCTAGCAATATGTTAAAGCATAACATGGTTTGGCTGAATCCTGGCTTCCCATGTGTGTGATGGCAGCCCAAGATTTTTCAGAGTTCACACTTTAACTTGGATTAAGCGGTGATGTGGCCTTGGTCCTCCTTTTTCCACCCTGTCTGGTCAGGCAGTTGCCTTGTCAGAGAAGAAATCTTGGCTCTGTCTAAAAATCTAGGGAACTCTAGGGAATGGGGAAAGCACCCCACCTTTTGATGCCCTTCAGGTTGAACCCATAGCAGTTTTTTAAGCTCTTGCCTACTCATATCTCCTCTTTCTCTTCCTTCCGGAATAGTAATGGAAAAAGGGTTGCAAAGATTTGCAGAATGACCAGGGATTCCCCCAGGAGAAGGAGGCTGTTAAGTGAGGGGAAAAGGCCAAGCCAGGCTGCAGCTGGCTGCCTCGATGGGCCTGACTGCACTCCCTTCCTGGCAAGGGGAAGCACTGAGACTTGGCTCCCAGCCAGCATGGGTGACCCAAAGACCCAGCCCACAGAACCGTGTTGGCTGGCTGGAGCAACTTTGTGGCCACGGAAGCCAGCCTCCCAACAAGCACCCTCAATGGCTTGCAGGACTGTCATTGTAACAGCAGAGAAAGGACACCCCGTTTCTTCAGACTCTTAATGGGGAGGTAATTTGTCATGCCAGCCCTTGGCTCTGCTTCCTTTGAGTGTTTGGGATAAAAAAGGGGGGGGGGAGAGCAGAAGCCTCTCTGCAGCGTGCAAACTGGAACGTTTGTGAGGACACTAAGAACAGAGAGAGAACAAAGCTAAAAAATAAATAGATAAAAATAAATGTGGTGGGAGTCCCCTTTCTGCTGAAGAAATAGCAGTGGA